GAGGTATTATGGTGGCTGTAATAAGAATTACGTAAGGAAGACTGCAGTATGTTTGGGTCAGTAATTGTGGCTAGCTAAGATTTAAAAAAAAAAGACAGACTGAAGTCCAGCTTTTCCCTATCACCTCTTTTGGTCTTGTGACACGTTTTTCGTATTTTCAAAATAAATATTACTTTCCTCTTTGGTATGCAGACTTTATGAATTTAAGTGCAGTACTAAATTGGCGTAAAGGTTGCATCATTCGACAGATGAATTGGTTAGACTAAACCGTAAGTTCTATGCTAACAGTTTCTTCTCTCGCACTTCTCGCTTGTGGGACACACTTTCGGCTTTTGCTTCCCAATTAATTTTGATCTTCAAAAATTGAAGTGCAATGTCAATCGTTATCTTCTGTCTTCTTAATTCCTGTTCTTTTATGGTTCTCTTGCATTGATAGTGTTCTTTCCCTATATTCCTTCATACTCTGTAAGCCCTTTGCGTCTTAGTGGCTTTATTATCATGTTTGGGGTGAAATGATTAAAAATATATATATTTTTTTCAAATAATTTATAGTCATTTAATAGTTTTTACATAACTTAATTGTTTTAGTTAATTACGAACAAGAGGCACGGTGGAGTAATGAATAGCGGCTTGGAGAGCCGAGTTCGAATTCCAGTCGAATTCATTACATTCACTTAAGTCATTGTAACCTTGGGAAAGGTATGAATCCTCTACATCTCTCCAGTTATGGGTAATTGCCTTGGTTGGTAACTAGTCTACCGCAGAAAGAAATGGCAACCTACTGCGGGAGAAAATCTGCCTCGTCAGTCATGTATCGATATATACATCATCGCCTAAGCATGTATCACGCATGGCACATAACTGACTGACTGACTTTCCAGTTGAATTCATTACATTCACTTACGTGCTAATACCCTTGGAAATGGTATTAGGTTGGTGCAAAAATAATGACGTAATGATGTCGTTTTTTGACGTTAAAAATACGTCTAAAAACGACATTATTACGTCATTATTTTGCACCAACCTAATATGAATCCTCTTCTTCTCCCTCCAGCAATGGGTAAATAGCGGGACAAACCGGGATCTATATTTTTGGATGGCAACTGGTCTACCGCAGAAAGAAATGGCAACCTAATGCGGGAAAAATCTGCCTTGTCAGTCCTTTATCAAAAGATACATGATCACCTAAGCGTCTATCACGCATGCCATATAACTGACTATTTGCAAACGCGTCGAACGAAAAACTGTTTTCATTCAGGGCATAGTTTTCAAAAAATAGCAGGTGAAGATTTCGCACACAGATAATATAAAGTACCTCCTCAAAATTCCTTAGTCCTTACCTTCGACACCATTACCGATTTTACGTGTCCTTGTGCCAACAGAATGAGTTATTTCTTCTAACGACGCAACAGCAAAAATGTGCCTCCGATCTCCACGAGAAGAAAACCGTATTCATCGACACAGCTGCATCAAAACCCCTTCTACCATGAAACTCTTTCCAGCGCCCCTGTGTTCACCATCAACATCATCGTCACGTGGTGTCCCCTTAGAAAACTAGCAGCTACCCTCCACTACCCACACTAGCATCACTTCAATTATACACAACCCCTAACACCATCACTGATTCCTCTCCGTTCTTCGACCTATTTCTCGAAAAGCACCCTCCCCAGTTTGATGACGACGGCTTCGTATCGGAGTTCCACTTTCTTCTCCTCTCCCTTTCACCGTCTATTATCACGTGGAGCTGTTCGCTTTCTTAGCTTTGATTGAAGCCAAAAGGAAGTTCTTATCATCTAACAATCAGATTAGAACGCGTCCCTAATATGCCGTAGCATTTTTCTATTAGATCGGTCAACACGACAAATGTTGGCCAATATAACACTGATCATTTGTGTTAATGACTAGACGGGCGTGGTGTCTGGACGGCACAAAGGGTGGTGTTTGCTACAGCTACACCAGGTCGTTGGTTAATGGAGGCGGTGCAAAGGAAGAAGAGGAAAAGAAATGGAGACTGTACGTGAAAAGAGAGAGAGAAAAAGAGAAAGAAATAGGACAGAAATGGAATTGGTAGAGAGAAAGCAAAGAGGGGAAAAAAAAGGAAAGAATCCGAAGGAAAATATTTAAGGAAATATATATGAAAAGAAGACAGATGATTAAACGGTCAAGAAGAAGGGAATGGGAGGAGTGTAGGAAGATTGTCGGAAAGTCAGTGAAAGAGGAGGGATAGCAAGAGAAAAGATAGAATAAAAAGAAGGAAAACATGGCGGAGACAAAGAACGAAAAGGGCGGAATAATTCAAGCGTGCATCAATGGAGAAAGAAAACGGAGAAGAATGAGAACATGAAGGAAAAAGGAAACGATATACGGAAAGGATTACAAAAAGAGAACCAAAACCGCCCCCCACCCACCCAAAAAAAAAATTTTTAAAAAATAAAAAGGTAGAAATCTATAAAAAACAAAAAAAAAAAAGAAATAAAATGGATAAACGAAAGAAAATGAA